GAGGTATCACAATCCCAGATTTCAAGACACACTACAAAGCTATAGTAATCAAAACAGTATGCAACTGCCATAAAAACAGACACACAGATCAATGGAACAGGATAGAAAGCCTAGAAATAAACCCACACTTATATGGCCAATTAATCTATAACAAAGGAAGCAAGAATATACAACGAGGGAAAAGAAAGCCTTTCCAAAAAATGATGTTAGGAAAATTGGACAGCTACATGCAAAAAAATGAAACTGGACCACTTTCTTACACCATACACAAAAATAAACTCAAAATGGATTAAGGATGTCATCTCAGGCAAGGGAAACAAAAGCAAAAATAAACAATTGTGACTACACCAAAATTAAAAGCTTTTGCACAGTGAAAGAAACCATGAACAAAACAAAAAGGCAATTTACTGAATGGAAAAGATATTTTCAAATGATACACCCAATAGGGGGTTAATATCCAAAACATATAAAGAACTTATACAACACTAAAAAAACAAAACAAAAAACCCGAATTCGATTAAAAAATGGGCAGAGGACATAAATAGACATTTTTTCAAAGAAAATATACAGATGACCAACACATACATGCAAAGATGCTCCACGTTACTAATCATCAGGGAAATGCAAATCAAGACCATAGTACAATATCATCTTCCATCTATCAGAATGGCTAGGATCAAAAAGGTAAGAAATAAAAAGTGTTGGCAAGGATGTGGAGAAAAAGAAACCCTTACTCACTGTTGAAAATGTGCATTGGTGCAACAACTGTGAGAAACAGTATGTAGGTCCCTCAAAAAATTGAAAGTAAAAATAGCATACAATCGAATAATTCCACTACTGAGCACTTACCCAAATAAAAACACAAATTTGAAAAGATATGTGCACCCCTGTGTTTGTTGCAGCATTATTTACAATAACCAAAATAACCTAAATGTCCACTGATAGATGAATGGATAAATAAGATGTGGTATATATATGCAATGGTATATTACCCAGCCATACAAAAGAATGAGATCTTGCCATTTTCTACAACATGGATAGACCTGGAGGGTATTATACTAAGGGAAATTTTCAAACAGAGAAAGACAAAGACCATATGATTGCACTTAAATGTACACTCAAAAAAACACATGAACATAGAAACAAACAAAAAGGTAGAAACATGTATAAATACAGAGAACTGGTGTTGTCAGAGGATGGGGGTGGAGGATGGGCAAAATGGGTGTGGGGGAGTGGGAGGTACAGGCTTCAGGTTATGGAATAAATAAGTGATGGGGATCAAAGGCACAGCACAGAGAATATAGTTATGGTACAGTAATAGCATCGGACAGGGATGGATGGTAGCTCCACGGTGGTGAGCATAGCATAATGTATGGATTTGTCAAATCACTGTTGTACACCCAAAGTTAATGTAACATTGTGTCGACTATACATGTATATATACACACACACTATATATATAAAACAAAAAAATTATTTTTTTTTAAGATTTTATTAGAGAGAGACACAACGAGAGCAGGAACACAAGCAGGGGGAGTGGGAGAGGAAGAGGCAGGCTTCCCGCGGAGCTGGGAGCCCGATGCGGGGCTCGATCCCAGGACCCGGGGATCACGACCTGAGCCGCAGGCAGACGCTTAACGACTGAGCCACCCAGGGGCCCCCAAAAAGTTATTTTTATATTATGGATAACAGTCCTTTATCAGAAGCAGGTTTTGCAAATCACAGTTTGTGCCTTGTCTTTTCATTTTCTTAACAGTAAATTTGGAAAAGCAAAAGTTTTCATTTTGATGAAATCAAATGTATTACTTTTAATTTTTGATTTTCACAGTTTTCATATCTTACCCAAGAAATCTTTGTCTAGGTTCACAAAAAATATGCCCGGTGTTGGCTTCTAGCTGTGTTTTTGCTATCACATTTAGTCTAAGTCAAAGATCCACTTTTAGTTGTTTTGTACAGTATGAAAGAAGCTTTGAGTTTTGCTTCATTGCATGTAGATTTCAAAATGTTCCAGCACCATTTGTTGAAAAGATCATCCTTTTCCTATGAATTCACCTTATTACCTTTTCAAAACAACCAATAGACTGTGGATTTATTTCTGGTCTCCATTCTCCTGAAGTGGTCTAGATGCCTGTACCACACCACACGTTGGTATATCATACCAACATGCTTACTGTACAGCTTTAAAGTCTTGATCTTACATAGTAAATCATTCAGCTTCTTTTTTTTTTTCCAAGATGGCTTTGGCTATCCCAAGTCTTTCATTTCTATATAAATTTTAGAAAATCTTATTAATTTCCTAAAAAAAAATGGGCTGGAATTTGAGTTGAGATTGCATTCAATTTGGATATCAATTCAGGGATGATTGACATCTTTTCTTTAAGGTTGTATTTATTTACTTGACAGAGAGAGAGTGAGACAGACAGAGAGAGAGCACAAGCAGCGTGGCAGCAGTGGGAGAGGGAGAAGCAGGCTCTCCACTGAGCAGGGAGCCCGATGTGGAGCTCCATACCAGGACCCTGGGATCATGACCTAAGCCAAACGCAGATGCTTAATGACTGAGCCAGCCCGGAGTCCCCAGGGATCATTGACATCTTAATATTAACTCTTCTGAGCCAGAAATATAGCATATCTCTCCATTTATGAAGTCTTCTTTAATTTTTTCAGTAATATTTTGTAGTTTGTGTATAATTCTTACACATATTTTGTTAAATGTGTCCCTAAGTATTTTATGGTTTTTGCTATTATAATTTATATTTTTCAACTTCGAACAGTTTTGCTAAAATGCAGAAATACAATTGATTTTTCTATATTGACTTTATATCCTGTGACCTTAATAAAAGTCAATTATTTCTAGGAGGGTTTTTGTTTTTGTTTTTGTAAATTCCATAGAATATCTAGACATATCGTCATCTGACAATTAAAATAATTTTACTTCTCTTTTCCAATATACACATCTTTTATTTCTTTCACCAACCTTATTATACTGGATTTAGTTGCAGTAAGACGTTGAATAAGAGTGGTGAGAGAGAACATCTTTGCCTCATTCCTGACCTTAGCAGACAAGCATCAGTCTTTCATCATTAAATATAACATTAGCTGTTCTTCATCAGGTTGAGAAAGGTTTCTTTCACTCCTAGTTTGCTGAAACATTTTTTTTTTCCATGAGTGCTTGAAGACTGTCAAATGTTCTTTCTACCTCTGTTGAAGCTATCATATTCTTTTTTTTTTTTAAGTCAGTTAATATGGTGAAAAATCTGCTTAATTTTTTAATGTCAATCTAAACTTACATTCCTGGGATATACTCCATTTGGTCATTATGTTAGTCTCCTGGGGCTGCCCTAACAGACTACCACAGACTGAGGGGCTCAACAATAGAAACTTACTATCTCACCTTTTGGAGTCTGGAAGTCCAAGATCAAGGCACTAGCAGCATTGGTTTCTGGTGAGACCTCTCTTCCTGGCTCACAGATATCCATGTTTTTGCTGAGTTCTCACATGGCCTTTCCTCTGTGCACATGCAGACAGAAAGATCTCTGGCATCTCTCCCTCTTCTTATAAGGACATCAGTCCTATGGGATTAGGGCCACAGCTTTATGACTTCACTTACCCTTAGTTATCTCTTTAAAGGCCCCATCTCCAACTGTGGTTACACTGGGGGTTAGGTCTTCAAAATATGAATTTTGAAGGGGACACAATTCAGTCCGTAACAGTCATGATGTATTATTATCATATATTGCTGGACTTAATTTGCTAACATTGTATTAAGGATTTTTACATCTATATTCATTAGTAATATTGGTATGTAGCTTTCTTTTCTTGTCATGCCTTTGATTTTGGTATCAAGGTGATAGTAGCCTCAGAGACTGAATAGTGAAGTGTTTTCTTTCTCTTCTAGTTTTTAGAAGGGTATTTGTAAAACTGATGCTGTTTTTCCTAAAATGTTAAGTAGAATCACCAATGAATACATCTGGGACTGGAGTTTTCTTTTGGGGAAGGTTTTAAATTATGAATTTAACTTCTTTAGTAGATAGTGGCTATTTAGGCTATCTATTTTTTTCTTTATATAACAGCTTTATTGAGCTGTAATTCACATACCATATTATTCACCCATTTAAAGTGTACAATTCAATGTAATTTTTAGATTCAAAAAGTTGCATGACTACCATCCCAGTAAATCTTAGAACATTTCCAGCACCTCAAACCCCATACACTTTAGCTATCACCCTCCCCCTCACCTGCCCTAAAGCAATCACCAATCTACATTCTGTCTCTCTAGAATTGCCTATTCTGGAGATTTCATATAAATGGGATCATATAATATGTGGTCTTTTATAACCGGTTTCTTTCACTTAGCATGATGTCTTCAAATTTCACCTATATTATAGCATGATGTATCAGTACTTCATCTCCTTTTATGGCTGAATAATAGTCCATTGGATGGGTAGACCACATTTTATTATTCATCAGTTGACAGACATTTGGGTTATTCCTACATTTTAGTTATTATGAACAATGCTGCTATACATATATGCATACAGGTTTTCATTTCTCTCCCATAGATAATCTAGGGATGTAATTGCTAAATCTGTTTTCGAGTGAGCTTTGGTAGGAATTTATTAATTCATTTAAATTGTCAACTTTATTGACCTGAAGTTGCTCATAACATTTCCTTATTGTTTTTTAAATATCTGAAGTAGTAATGCTCCCCTATCATTTGCAAATTAGCAATTTTTGCCCTCCGTTTCTTGATCAATCTGGATAAATGTTACTTTTATTGATTCTTTTCAAATAACCAGGTTTTAATTTCATTAATTCTCCTTATTTTTGTCCATTTCCTATTTCTTTGATTTCTACTACTGTCTCTGTTATTCTCCTTCCCACTTCTTACTTTGTGTTTAATTCACTCCTTTTTCAAGTTCTTAAGGTAACAGTTCAAAATATTTTTTAATTTTGTGATTTCTTCTTTAATCCTTGTTATTGAAAATTGTGTTAATTTCCAAATATTTGGAGATTTTCCTTATATCTTCCTATTGATCTCCAATTTAAATTCCAGAGAACATGATTTCAACTCTTTTCAATTAGCAATAATCACGCCTCGGAGAAACCTCATTGGCTATGACACTGCCACTTTGCAAAGCTCAACTCTTTTCTATTTAAGAATTTTTATTGTCCATAATATGGTCTGTCTTGTTGAGTACGTCATATAGACCTGAAAAGAATTCATATCCTACTGTTGTTGGGTGGAATGGTCTATAAATACTAACTAGGTCAATTACACTGAGAGGAAATGTTAAAATCTCTAACTATAATTGTGAATTTGTCTATTCCTTCTTTTAATTTCTTTTGCTTTTGCCTCAGATATTGAAGTATGGTTGTTAGGTGTATATATTTAGGATTATTGTATCATCTTAACAAATTGACCCTTTTATTAGTAGTCTTTAAATCTCTGTTAATATTTCTTGGGCTGATATCAATTTATATTAATATTAACGATGTTAATCATTAGGTTAATTATTGCATAGTAATTTGTTTTTATTCTTTCCTATTTAACCTATTTGCATCTTTTTATTTAAAGTTGATTTTTTGGAAAGGTTACCTTTGGGTAATGCGAACTGAGCAAAAACATCAGCCCATGAAAGCCTTGCTCCCAGAGAAATATGAGAAACAACCAACAGCTAGATGGAAGGGCAGCAGAGTCAGGATATCCCAAAGTCAGGTAAATGAGCCCTTCAAGAAGAGAGCATTCAGTACGAATACCAAGTAGGATAAACACTGGAAATGGTCCACCATCAATTTGAAAGTTGTAGTGACTTTTATCAGACTAATTTCAGGACAAGGGTGAGGGCAGAAGCCAAACTGTACAAAGAGCAATTGGGAGAAGGGAAGGCAGGAGAGATGACTATTTTTAAATTGTGGAGGTAAGGAGAACAACAGTGAACACACAGAAGGAACAATGACCTAAGAAAAAAATTAAAGTTCTTGTTTTGTTTGTTTCAGGATGGGAGATAATCTAGTGCTTATGGACTGAAGGGAAATCATTTGAAAGAGAGGCTCAATAGTGACTATCTGCTGGGGATGGGGGGGTAGATGTGGCCTCCTATGGTATGACAGAAGGGGACAGGAGTGTGTGTGTGTGTGTGTGTGTGTGTGTGTGTGTGTGTGTGTGAGAGAGAGAGAGAGAGAGAGGAGAAATATGTTGGAAAAGGAGAACAGGATCCCAGGAGGGAGGAGACTGGGTTGGATCATAGGTTGGAGGCAGACCTAGGGCAGCAGAACTCGCTTCGGACCGAAAGGACAGCTCTTCCTTAGCACAATCCGCACCGTGGTGGATGAGAAAAGATGAGGAAAGTTGACTCAAGTGAGGATAAAATTCTTGCCTAATAGTTGTTTTAGAGAGAAAAACTGAGCCCAAGAGAAAAGAAGGGCGGTTGGCAAAGAATTTAAAGAGCATGGGGAATGTTTGGAAATGAGTGAGAAAAGAGCTGGTGGTATATTTATTTTAGAAGCCCGTTCCTTACATCCATGTTTGGTTTAGATGCCTTCTTTTATGGTTCTCGGTGCTCTTTGAGATTACATCTGCCCGAATGCTTCCCATTGACCTCTACCTGTTCATTTGCCCGTCCCACACACAACTACAAGCTTCTCTGGGCAGAGACTGTATTATGTAAACATAATGCCTAGAACTTAACAAACATCCAGAAGAAATTTTACTCAGTCCTAAAAAAGAATGAAATCTTGCCATTTACAACCACATTCACGGACCTAGAGAAATAAGTCAGTCAGAGAAAGACAAATACCATATAATTTTACTCATGTGGAATTTAAGAAACAAAACAAATTAGCAAAGGGGAAGGTGATGGGTGGGGAGGGGACCAAGAAACAGACTCTGAACTATAGGGAACTGATGGTTTCCAGAGGGGAGGAGGGGGATGGGTGACATAGGTGATGGACATTAAGGACTGTCCTTATGGTGTGCCCTGGGTGATGTATGGGACTGTGCAATCACTGTATTGTACACCTGAACTTAATGTGACACTGTTAACTAGAATCAAAATACTCAAGAAAATAATAAATAATAAAATAATACTACTAATAAAAAATACTCAATAGAAATACTTGCTTAAGAAATGACAAAGATACTGCCAAGTAATAAAGGATCTATACCACTTGCTGGGTGGTTAATTTAGAATTTGAAGCCCTGAACTTAGACTTCACTACCTAAGAACCCTCTAAACAATAGTATTCTATAACTCAGGGACTAAGGGATAAAGGGTTCCAAATTTCAATTCAATACAAACTGCTTATTATGTTATAATAATCATAACAAATATCTATTTGCAGGGAGAACTACCAACAGGAGTCTTAAAAATATGTGTAAAGTATAAGTAAAATATATAAAGGCAAGAAATTGAAACATGATTCAACAAAACTTTGAGTTATAAATACTGCTAAAAGAATGAGCCTTAAAATGAGAATGCAGATTAAACTTGGCATTTCAAACCCAGTGTCCCCAAATTAAATCACCAGTATCCCAATTGTATGTCAAAAAATGGGACTGTTAAATAATGCACATTTCAATTCAAAGGCTTTCATCTGGATAAATTGAGCCATAAACTTATTAATGCCTTGATCCTCCATATTTCAACAGCAATACCCTAGAGTATACAAATATCTTTCTAAATCACCTAGCCTAACTCTTGAGAAACTACACAGCACATACCCCTAACCCAGAACAATATCTAAACCTTTTATTGTTAAGAACATCAATCTCACTGTTCCCCCAACCAAAAACAATGTAAGATTTTACTTACATATTTTAACAAATATCTGCCCCAAATATAATCTGCCCCAAGACAGTCAGCTCTCAGAAACATGTCCAATGGTGAGACATGTCACATATAAGAACGCTTTCACCAGGGAAGAAATGGATGTTCTACTAATGGACTTTCCAGGGTTTGAAAACCTGTTGGTTATATGACAGAAAGGATTTTTCCCTCACTCTAGCACAGACTTATTGTGAAACACTGGTCCAGTCACACAGCTTCAGTTTCCTCTCTATAAAATGAAGGGGTTGGACTAGAACTTAAGCAATGTTCACTGGAAAACTAGATCTGAAAATGAGTCTTGCCCCCAAAAAGGTCCATGATCAAATAAGATTAAGAAATGCTCTATCGTATAGCAATGCACAGCAGGACACTCGAGAATCTGACAGGCAAGGTAACGTGCATATGAAACTAGAGCAGAGATCACCATGGAATTGGAAGGCTGAGCCTGAGGCTTCCAATAAGGCAAACAAGCTGAATCTGCAACTCCCACATTTAATCTGGAATTCCCAAGTGTAGTTGAAGTGATCCCATGTTGGTGTTGGACCCATCAGTACTGAATGCAAATCAACTCTAGGGAAAGCACCTTCAATTTAGTATCTCAGGATTCTCCCACGTCAGGTTCAACAAATTATGAACTCCCAATTGTAAAAACTACCAAACACACAGGGAAAATACATTCTTACTCTAAGAGAGATTAAGCAAAAATAAACAGACTTTGACTCTAAAGGATTCAGATATTTAAACGACCAGATAAAAAAATCAAGTTATAAGAAATAACAGGTTCCAGAAACAAAATCTAGGAATAAGAGACTATAAAAAATTACCAACCACTTTTAAGGGGGAAAACCCTAAATCATCTAGAAATGAAAAATATCATTGTTCAAATTTAAAACTTAAGGATGGATGTGTTTCACAGCTAATCAGACTCCAAGGAGATGAGAATTTGCTAACTAGTTGATAAATGCAGAATCAAAGATATGGAACCTGGGAAGAGAAGTTAAAAAGATATGGAAAACAGAATGAAAAGGTCTAAAATATATTTAGTAACAGTATCAAAAGGAATGAAAGAAAAACAATAGGATAATTATTCCAAAGTTTCCAAAAAGGAAATGGAATACATGAACCACAGCTATATAAAACGCAACTTGTAATAAGATTTAAATAAAATATCTTCACCTTTAATTGCATAATGATATTAAAGGCCAAAAACAAAGAGAAAACTTTAAAGGCAGCCAGACGGAAGAGATAGACCAGTTACAAGGGCCTAGCAAAGATAATTAGCTTCTTAACATCAGCTACTGAAGCCAGCCGTACAATATCTTCAAAATGCCAATAAAAATATCTATCCATCTGGAAATATTTGCTCAGAAAATCTATCATTCAATAATGAGAGTAAAATAAAGATACACATTTTTTAAAGAGTGATTTTATTCCTTCATAGAAGGAAGATGGATAATGATTGCTGAAGGAAAGTCTGAGATGCAAGAAGGATAGTAAGCCAAGGAATTTGTAAATATATAGGTAAATCTAAACAAGAATATCTGACAACAGTATCTTATATTTGGACTTTAAAAAGAACAGAACTGAAATGAACTATCAAGCTACAAAAATACATGGAGAAATCTTAAATGCACCTTGCTAAGTGGAAGAAGCCAAGCTGAAAAGATACATACCTTATGACAACTATATGACATTCTAGAAAAGGCAAAACTATGGAGACAGTAAAAAGATAAGTGATTGCCAGGGGGTAGGGGTGGAGGAAGGGATGAATAGGCAGAGCACAGGGAACATTTGGGGCAGTGAAACCATTATTCTGTATGATACTGCAAAGGTAGATACATGTCATTGTACATTTGTCAAAGCCCATAGAATGTGCAATAGAGTGAAAACTAAACTAAGGACTTTAGTTAATAATAATGTATTAATATTGGTTCATTGATTGTAACAAATGTACCACACTAATACATGATGTTAAAAATAGGGGAAATTTGGGGTGGGGCAAAGGGCTTATGGGAATTCTGTACTTTTTACTCAATTTTTTCTATAAACCTAAAACGACTGGAAAAACAAATTAAGTCTATTAATTTAAAAGAAAAAAAACAACTAAAATATCAAATCATTTGAGCTGGGGGGTAAAGCTAAGGTGATCTAAGCTCTTTGAATTCTTTGAAAAAAAAAAAGATCTCATTAACATATTCAGAACCCCACAACCAACAATTAGAGCAGCCACGGTTTCCAACCACACATGGAACATTTAAAGAAAAACTAACCACATTTTTTTAATTTTATTATTTATTTTAATAATTTTTTAAC